CGCTGACTCTGATCTCTGGCTTTTGGCACTGTTTCTGTTCTCTGGACCCTGCCTTTTGGATTTCGATTTGTTTCTGGCTCTCTGATCACCTGGTTCTGACCTTGGACCGCTCACTGGATCCCCTGACCCCTCTCGCTTCCCCTGGACCCAAGTCCTCTGGGACCAACTTCTGTGGACTCACCCAGACTAATGTGTCTACAGTTAAAAGGTCAGTAGCTACTTTCTATTTTTGCAAATCCACCAGCTTTAATCCTGACACTCACCAGTGTTCTGTTCCGCAGAGTGTGCCACCCAGAGGGTCCAGAGGTTCCTCACATAACAGTGAAATAATAAAACTTTTAAACCTGTTTTTGTCTTCAGTGGTGCTGAATCCTAAAACCCCTTCTGACTTTATTGGATGGAAATGTGAGTGAGGAGGAAATGATTCACCTACAGAGTGATGATGTTATGGACATGTACCCATTTTAAGTATTTTGTTTGGTCTGGTTACACTTCACAATAGGTCTGTGTGTTGACACTGTGAAGGGAAAGGTGTGTAGGACGGGTGCCAGTTTTTGTTTGATTCAGTTTCTCYTGTTTTTGTAATCTAGTGAGGTAAGATTAATGTAATTTGTTTGTTTAGTTTTGATGGACAGGACAGCAGTTACTCAGAAAGTTAGAGTATTTTGTTTGTTGTTTTGGCTGAAGCCCAGTCTGAAGCTAATTGCTACTGTTTTCCCTTTTATTACTTCAGTGTTTAATTCTGGCCATGAGTAACTGTTAAGGCACCACATTTAATGTTTTTCTTTTCTCTTTATTTACTATGTTTATTGTCATATATTGTTTGCCTAAATAGTTTTCTTTTTTTCTTCTTCTCACATATATCTTTTATTATTAATTTTGTTTGTTCATTTGATTTGACTCAGCCCTTTATTTTTGACTGAGCACCAGGAGCAGGATGTGTCACGGCTCTGAGGATTTCTTTCTTTCTTTTATTTTTTTCTGTTGACTAAATAAGTGAGATGATGTTAACACCTCACATAAGTAGTTACAAACCTCACAGAACATTACCACTTGGACACTTATAACTTGCTGTTGCTCATCAGCACTGTATAAACATAATGATAAAGTTTGTTTTCCATGCATGGTATTGAAACTTGTCATTTTTTTGCAAGATACTGGTGTGGTGTTTTCTGTGTTTCCAGGAGGACACCAGGCTGATTCTGTTACATGGACTTTGGACTCAAATTCTTGGACAGGACTCATAAATCTGTAGAGGTTCGGCAGTACAAAGGACTTGGACTCTGAGTTGTGATGGCTCAAACATTTTTGCCACAGAACAGGACTGAATCTGGCACCATGGGTGACAGAAAACAAAAACTACCGTTGTTAAGAACTCTTATAATCTTTTTTACGTGTTTATCATTTTGGTTTTTATTCCTTATATCATATTGTTTGATGTGACAATCCTTTACTACTGTATGTGTTACTTGTTGTTTTGACTGTCTTATTATGATCATCTTATGTGGTGAGCTGAGTCTCATAGAAATATCTAACTCACTTTGTGTTTATGCATGGCTCACGTTACATTTGTCCTTACTAGCATAGGTAACAAACCGGGACGAGATTCGCATTGAAAAGTCCCTAAAATTAGTTTATGTTAATTGTTAGATTCGAACGGAGATTTCCTTCACAGATTGGCATGGAGTGAGGATTTCTCTGGGACCTAAGGTCTTTTCCCCACCCCTGTTTCATGGGGAGGTTTTTCTGATCGTGATGGGTCATTTTAGGCGAATTGCAACGAGTCAGCCTTCAGGTCCCCTGCAGTGACACAGATTTTTAAATGAGTATGCATGGATTGTTTGTCCATGTCAGTCATGGAGGTGTTTACAGTCAGGAGGCCTGTGGGGGTGGCTGATGTAGCCGTGTTTGACCTTATTAGAAAATTAGGCTTAGTTTACCTACTTTTAAAGTAATTTAAAATAATGTGCRCTTAGGACTTAAAATAGGTTATTAGCTAAATTAGACAACCTCTAAATTGTAGGCTGTACCGTTTTTTTATTTGCTAATGGACAAGTGATATTATCCAATGAATTTGAACAGCAAAGTTCTTGTGTTGCAGTGGCTATGGTGTTGTCTTTTCTCGATTTATAGCCAATCCTTTATTTTTCTTTCAGGATTAATTAGTCCCGAAGGGGGAAATTATGTAGTGTCCAAAGAGTGGGGGACCTCTTCTCAGGAATGCACAGATGTGATGTCTCTTAGTCTCTAGCTTTAGAGCTCGGCACATATGACCATATTAGGAAGAAGAACGCTTAAGGTATACCATGACAAGTTTATGGTACATCTGTGAAAGCTTATAAAGAGCCTTGTATGCCCCTGCTCTTGGCCTTCRTCTTCATCTTCTTACTTGGTGAATCATTTTGGCATTGGAGGCCACAATTTGGTTTTTGGCTGTAATCTCCTGGACTGCAAAAATATTCTTGCTGTTCAATCAGCCTGTTTTCAGAGTCCTCTCTTCAATTTAGCAACAGCAGTTCCACTTCAACCAGAAGTCGTGGTTTCTACACCTCATAACAATAAGCGTTTTCTTGAGATAATGAGTTAATTACGTCTAGTCTGACAGGGTCTGATGCACCCACAGTTGTGCGACCAGGATTTTCTGTTGTTCATGTCTTCATTGTGCTCAATTTAACTGTCTGCACCCATCAACAACTGAACACCAAATGTTTCTGCTGTGATGCAATAATACCCAAACCATAGTGACTGACATTATGTTCACCTTTATTCAACCATGTACTGTACCAGCCCTTTAAACTCAYTAAGAATACAGTTTGATAATCAACCATAGTTTCATACAGAGATGCACAGGTGGAGCACAGGTGTGTTGGTTTATCCTCTCACATAAGTTGAAGTGGCACAATTATTATGCATGAATTACTTTAAAAATAAAAGATCATTAGCATTAATTAGAGAATAATCTCTAACAGGGAGGATTGAAGTGGCAGGTCCAGACTAGTTGTGTAAGCCAAATTATTTCTGTTATATACAGTTTGCCATATTTGGTCAGGAATGTTCTGGTCAAAAAGTTACTTTCATTGGTGTTTGTGGGTCTCAAGGTTTGTYTACAATGGAGGAAGAACAGGGGGTGGACCGATTAACTGGAAATGGTGATGGAAATAAGTTCTGGGAAATGTTACATAAAAGTTTCCAATATGTGCGTTTGTGAGAAGTCATCTCGAATCTTGGCTTAGTTTGATCTGATGACGTGCATAGAATGTATAAAAGACACCAAAGTCGTGACTTCAGGGGTTCTCTCCCATTCTTGGTTTGTTCAGTGTCTAACTGTCTGAGAACCTCATGACTTCAATAAAACTCCCTCAGCTGTCCATCAACCGTCTTCTGTGTCTTAATGAACTAAGGAACAACAAAGTCTTATAATGTGTGTAAAGGACACACTGGAGTGGGAATAAAWTAGAAGCTRTTTCCTGATTTCTAATGTATTTTAACAGGTTGTTAAAGATACTTTTACCTACATAAATAAACATCTTATTTAATGACTGGAGACAGATTGTTCATTAAACTAGTTCTATCGTCCTGTTTTTAAATTCAGTTACAACTCAGATAATTAAATTAATGTGACAAATTTTCCCAAACAAGCTTRGAGGAGGTTTTTACAGTTAATTTACACATCTGTTTCAAGCAATAAATCTGACTACTTTATCTGTGTAATTAAAGTATTCAATGCTTAATTTATTGTTGAGTAGGTAAAGGAAAAATATTTTTGGCCCTCAAGTCCTTCTGACTTTATGATTTTGGCTCACGTGACAAAATGTTTGGACACCCCTGATTTAAACCAACAACAATATAAAAACTAAAATTTGTTCTTTAAAGTTTGATAAACCTCAGAKAGTTAATTACTTTTATTCCTCTGAGACAAAGTTGCATCAACAAACTGCAATTTGTCTGTCAGTGAAATTTGAATATATCTGAGTCTTGTTGTTCCTGTCTGTGTGTTAAGAACAGTGGATGAGGTAAGACCTGCTCAGAGTTCCTGTGTGTCACATTCAGTTGTTTGCTTCCTCTGTGCTGATAGATGATCTGCCTCACTCTGCCTGCAGTATGGTTCAAGTGGATCAAAACAGCACACAGGTGCAAGTGTCTGAGTTTTTTATTGTGGGCTTTCCAAGTCTGCAGCAGGAGTATTTTCACCTAGTRGCATGGTTCTTCTTCATCCTTTATGTGATCACAGTGGTGGGCAACATGGTCCTGATTGTAGTTTTTGCTCTGGAGCCCAACCTTCAGAAGCCAATGTATATCAACATGGTGAGCCTGGCTCTCTCAGACATTGGTAAATGTTTTTTTTTCCACAACAAAAACTTTAGAAATTATACTTTATCATCTGTGTGTGATGTGTGTTGTGTCTTAAACTGTTTCATTCTTGCTGCAGGTTTTACCACAGTTGCTTTACCTAAACTCATTGCTCGTTACTGGTGGAATGATGGGAGCATTGGTTTTTACACTTGTCACTTTCAAAAGCACATGATCCATTATTTTGGAAGTTTAAACTCSTTAATTTTACTGGCCATGGCCATGGACCGATACTTGGCCATCTGTTTTCCTCTCAGGTGAATAAACAACACTCGCATTTCATTTCTCTCTACCTTCAGTAACATAAAATAAATCACACTATCCTTGTTTTCCTCTTACTCTTCCCTCCTCAGATACTCTGTACTGATGACAATCCCAACCATGACAGTCCTGACGGTCTTCTGCTGGGTCATAACTCACATCTTTCCCGGCATCGGCTCAATCTACATGGTTCAGATGTCATTTTGTGGCCCCAATCAAATCCTGCAGGCCTTTTGTGACACTGGTTCTTTGGTTGCTTTAGTWTGTGGAGACTCAAGCTATGTGTACACAATTTCTTATATTGTAGCAATGTTTATTCTGTATGTTCCTTTAGGCTTCATCATCTTCTCCTATGTTTGCATTGTTGTTACAGTCTTACAGATGGTCAGTGGGCAGGTGAATGTCATCTTTTTTAATGTCTATAATGTTTGTCTTGTATTACTGTGAGGTTAAAATATCAAGTTTTATGATTCAGAATACAAAAATGTTGTTGTTTTTCTGACATGTTAACATCAGTCTGTTTTTCTCCACAGGGCAGAAAAAAGRCCTTTTCCACTTGTGCTACTCAGGGATTTATCATTTCTATATACTACTTRCCTCGCTTTTTTGTCTACACTGCACCATACATTCCTAATTTTCAAATGACTCATGACAGGCGGATGGTCACAACTCTTTTTTACAGTTTTTTCCCTCCACTCATAAACCCATTTGTCTACTGTCTCAGAACTAAAGAGATCCAGAATATTTTCAGGCTMTGGATCCAGAAAAATAAGACCTGTAAGACTACTCCTGGACTAAATGTAACTGTCCCTGAGTTACATTAACAATATTTATAAACTTTGCAGATTTTGTTAAATGTTTTGTATCTACATTATCACGCACTAGCTTTTACAGCACCAGTCTATGTCCTTTGTCTTCACTCAAAGTTCAGTTTAATTGTTTTAAACARTGTTTAGGCTTAAAACCCACAAAATTTTCCTGTTACTCACAGATTCCAGACTTTCTTTTTCCTTTTGATGTAAACCTGATGCTCTTTGACTAAATTTTTAATTTACAATTTATGTCTTACATTTACTTTACATCATTTGCAAAACCTTGATTTTTTATCATAATTTTGCATCCTAATGCAATATAAGTATTTTACAATTTTCATTAGAAACTTCTTGCAAAACTGTCTGTTTTACACATCTGTGTTACCATCTTCAAAGAGAATTCTCTCAAGAACAGATGTATTTATGCAGTGTTTTCATCTCAATCATGTGAAAATAAAGTAAAAATAACCAGAAAACAAAGAAAGCTCAAAGCAACCAAAATTGATTATTTAATTCATTAATTTACATTTTAAATACATAATAATAATAAAAAAAAGTTAAAAACCAAAACATCTGGACTTCGATTTCGAAGCTGCAAACGTTTCGTTTCACATCCAGGAAGCTTTCTCAATTCAAAATGTCTGGAGTAGTGTGGACACTTTGAATTTAGAAAGCGTCCTGGATTGTAAATTAAATGTCATGCATGTGTTTGACCTCACACATGCACAGGGGTCTCAGCCGGTGTGTGTGTGTGTGTG